TGCCATCTCCTGCTTGACCACTTCTAATTTACCTTCATTCATAGACCTAACATTCCAGGTTCCTATGCAATATTGCTCTTTACAGAATTGAACTTTATTTCCATCACCATTCACGCCCACAACTGGGCGTTGCCTCATTCGCTTTGCCTCATTCTCTTCATTCTTTCTGGAGTTATTTCTCCACTCTTCTCCAATAACATGTTGGGCATCTGCCAGCCTGGGGAGTTCATCTTTCAGTGTCCTATCTTTTTGCCTTTTCACACTGTTCATACTGCCCACATCAACAAGCAAGCCTCAAAGTTTCCACAAGTATTAGGAAGGTCATGGATATATCATTTTTCTTTCTTTTCACACCTCTGTTTTCCTCTCTTCCTGGAGAGATTTGAGAGATTTGTTTTTCATTCACTCAGTTGTATCCAACTTTCTATGACCCCATGGACTGCAGCACACCAGGCTTCCCTGTCTTTCACCATCTCCCAGAGCGTGCTGAAACTCATGTCCATTGAGTCAGTGATGCCATCCAACCATCTCATCCTCTGCTGTCCTCTTCTCCTCCTGCCTTCAGTCTTTCCCAGCATCAGGGTCTTCTCCAATGTGTCAGCTCTTCACATCAGGTGGCCAAAGTATTGGATCTGTAGTGTCAGTCTTTTCAGTGAATATTCAAGGTTGATTTCCTTTAGGATTGACTGGTTTGATCTCCTTGCAGTCCAAGGGTCTCTCAAGAGTCTTCTCTGATCTCTTCTCTTCTTCAAGAGGTCCTCAGTGGCAAATACAAGCTCAAAGGAAGTGCTGAGTGGAGAGGAATTTTAGTAGGAGGCTTGAGATAACACATGGCTGTCACCTCCTCTACTCACACGGACAGTCGACCTGTCCTCTGCTTGGGCTGTGCACACCTCAAAGTGCTTCCCTGACACCTGGTGGAAGAATGGTAGATCTTTCCCAAGTCAGACTAATGGGGCCACCTTGGAAACTGTGCTGAAATCTACAACCTGGGTAACTATTTCAGAGGAATCCCTACTCTGTGTTAACCAGGTTCTAGGTGGGGATTCCCTAGAGAACAGTGTGCATGTCTTCCTCTGTCTTTGTCCATTCCTGTTTATCTAACTGAACACTCATGGCTGTCTTTCCCTGAGGTCACAGGTCTCGGGGACAAACAGTCACAGGTTGGGGTGCTGGGTGATTTCTAGACACACCTGGCCAGTGCCCCTGGCCTTCTAGAGCCTTTTACCTTGTCCACTAGACGGTGCTGACCTGGACCACTTCTACTAAATCCATACACCCATGTGTGTGACTGAATGACCCTTGGATGTGACTCTGGATTCTAGTCCTTAACAGGTCCTTTGATGTTTCTTTTCACCAAGAAATGCCCCTGATATACACATGTAGGCCCAAACTGGAAAATCAAAACCCAAATCCCAGGAAACACCCTGACTTACTCATTCACCAGCTCTAGCACTGGGGACTCAGCTACCCCAAAGTCCAGGACCTGGCAATGTGGAAATAACTCATCAGGGAATGAAGACTGCTTATTAGAAGAACAAGAGATGATAAAGCAGGAAGGAGAAGGAGTTAGGGAGCGTGGGGCTGTGAGTCTGTAGGAGAGCACACCCTGGAGAAATCTGCAGGTTCCTCCAAGGACTGAGACTTCATGCTGGGTCAGAGGAGCAGGTTAACTCATGTCATCCAGGATTTCTCAGTCTCCCCATGGTGGACCTGACTGGGTAATTCTCAGTGTTGAAGTGCTGTCCTTGCATTATAGGCTTCACCTCTAATGATGAGATGGAAGGTGTCACCAACCTCCTCTCACACTGTGACACCCGGAAATGCCACCACACATGGCAAGTCTCTCCCTGGGAGGCACAGAGTCCCCTGAATCAATTAGTTGCCTACATTTTTGTCAACATTCATGAGAAAGTTTGGAATCAAGGTCCTATGACTTCCTTTAGTTATAAAATAATAAGATTGCCACAGCCTGTTGCAATCATCCCTTAAAGTAACTATGTTAATTTCCCCCTGATTGTCAGTAAGAAAGGTCTTTCTAAAATGGGAGAGTCCTAGGATACCTTCCCAGGGGACACATGTTGGTAAGAATCCAAAAGGAAAACCTGGGAGTGTTGAAGAGGCCTAAGGAGAGACAGAGGATGATTGAGGGGTGGATAAAGGGTGTCAGCGGAGATAACGCTCCTGTCAGCATTATCTGAATCAGGACTACCCTGGTGGCCAAGTGGGTAAGACTCCACATTCCAGCTGCAGGAGGTTGCTGGTTCCATCCCTGGGTGGGGAACTGAGATCCCTGCTTGAGAAAAAAAAATACAGTGAAGAGATTCTTTGACAGTTTGAGACCTTCAAAATAACTAGACATTTAGAGTTAGGTAATTTGGGTTTTTTCCCCTCAAAATTCTAGAAATGACAAGAACTACTGTAATGCTTTCTTGCTTGCCTGAGAAATAATGGAGTCAGTGAGTGAATGGTATATTACAGATTAGAAGGGTAAAAGGATGTCTGGAAGAGGAGTGATGGAAATGAATTCCTGACATGCCTTCTTTAGCGGAGCTCAAGGGGCATTTGAACAGATCTCCCGTTGGTTATCGGAGGGACAGGTTTCCTGCTGTGGTGCAGGAGAAAGTGATAAACATGATTTGTGCTGATGTGCTCCACAACTCAGAGAAATTGGAGACTTTTCAGGGGTCTCTTAGAAAATCATTTAATTATGCTAACCACACACTGAATTTTACTTTTAGAAAATTAAGTTTAAACCATCTCCTCAATGTTTAGGAAACAATANGCCAGGCTCCTCTGTCCATGCAGTTTTCCAGGCAAGAATACTGGAGTAGCTTGAGATTTCCTTCTCCAGGGAATCTTCCCAGGCCAGGGATCGAACCCCATCTCCCAGTCTCCTACGCTGGTAGGGGAGTTCTTTACCACTGTCCCAGCTGGGAAGCCCGTGTGATAATATGGGTGCGTGAGCGCTCAGTCACTTTGGCTGTGTACAGCTACTCGTGATCTTATGAACTGTAGCCAGTCAGACTCCTCCATCCACGGGATTTTCTAGGGATGAACGCTGGAGTGGGTTGCCATACCCTCCTCCAGGGGATCTTCCTGACCCAGGGATCGAACACAAGTCTCCTGTGTCTCCTGCATTGCAGGCAGATTCTTTACCTCTGAGCCACCAGAGAAGCCCTCTTTGATAGCATTCTTACAATCAAATTACAACCACATAAAGATACAGAATCACAGACACATACACACACATATGTATATATTATATCCTAGGAGGATATATTATAACTGTATTCTGTCTGTTTTCACTAATTTTTTAAGAATATTATATTATCTTCCTCTATGCTATTTTTACATTTGAGTTCTATGTTTGAATTTTCATGTGGCTAATCTTTCTGAAACCAACTTTGCAGAAGTGTGAAAGTGAAGTGAAAGTGAGAGTCACTCAGTCATGTCCGACTCTTTGCGACCCCATGGACTATATAGTCCATGGAGTTCTCCAGGCCAGAATACTGGAGTGGGTAGCCTTTCCCTTCTCCAGGGGATCTTCCCAACCCAGGGATCAAACCCAGGTCTTCCACATTGCAGGTGGATTCTTTACCAGCTGAGCTACCAGGGAAACAGAAGTGTATTTATGGGTAATTGTATGCATCTTTGCACACATGCATGCTGTCGCTTCAGTCGTGTCCGACTCTGCAACCGCATAGATGGCAGCCCACCTGGCTCCTCTGTCCCTGGGGTTCTCCAGGCAAGCATACTGGAGTGGGTTGCCATTTCCTTCTCCTACATGCATCTTAGTGTAGGGCATAGTTCAGTGTGTTTTGACCGGTACACACATTTTTCATGACCTCCACGTCCAGATATAAAAATTCTATTCTTCACCATTCAATGTCTACCCTTTAAGCCACAGATAAGAACAGATCTGTTCATCTCACCTCTTCTAGAACTTCAGAGGCCAGCATTATGCACCCTGCATCATTTTCCCCGGCTTCTATCACTTAGCATAATGTTTTAAAATTTTACCTCACTGTCTGCATATGCAGGGAGTCACATTTTTCAAGCCAAGTGAAAGGATATGGTTTACATAAAAAATTTATTATATTTTGCAGATATTGGAAAATGGTTTTGTTCCCACTTTGTGGTTATTTTGAGTAACTGCAGTGCATTTTCCTAGTGACTAAGAACACTTAGCACAATTCATTGTGGGCATTCTTTCCCAAGGTGTCTGTTCAAGAACTAATTCTTGTTGAGTTATTTCCCTTTTAATATTTATTTTGCACGTGTGCTTCCTATAGGCCATATACCCCTATTTCACACATGACATATATGAAGACATTCAAAGTCTTTGGTTATATAGTTGACAATATGTATTTTCATATATTACATATACATATATAATTTCCTTATGTCATATAAGCATAACGTGTACTTGTGGGTTTACTTGTGTGTGTATATGTTTCAATGGGCATGTATACATGCATGTGTCTTTCACTGATCAACCCTCTTACATTGTTGTGATGAAAGAATAGTGTGTGTTTTGATAAAATTAAGCATTTCTTTCTCTAATTTTTTTTATATTTTTTTCCCTATCATATTATCTAAAGAGTCACTACTAGCGTAGTGAGAATTCCCAAGGTCTGCCATGATGGCAACACGTCTCTGTTTCCAGGAAGCATTTTTTTTAAAGCTATATTCATTTAATTTTCCCTAAAAGTTTAGATCTGTCCATGTTTATTCTCCTTTCAACATGACTTGCTTTCTATTTGCAGTTTAACCTTGGAACTACTGCTCAGATTTAATGTGTAGACAAGCCATCCTCGTCACTTGATAGTTACTTGGCCTTAGAGGATATGTTTCTTCTCTTTTGAAGGTCACATTGCTCACAGGCACTAAGGTTACAGCTCACACTTAATCTTTGGGGAGAAACAAAGAAAATCCTAATTATATGTTAATTTTTTCATTATTTTAATCAACCACCCTGAATATGTTTTATTTTTAAGGTTGAACGGAGAATGGGTAGCAAAACATGTCACAGGGGAAAAGAAAGAAAACAACATTTATGTTGTGGAGTGTAAGTATGACTGTTTCACTGGTCAGAGTATGTTTGGGTGGAAATCTTGGTCTCAACTTCCTTCAATTATCCCACACACCTGAATTCTACTCCAGTGAACAGTTAGAGGTGTGGGCAGGCTGCAGCCCCCAAGATGTCCAAGCACTTTATTTTGTCATGAGCAAAGGGTTCACACACACACATTAGGTCTCCTCCTAATTATGAGTGCTTCTCTTGAGAATAACATGTGCAGACGTGTATGTCATATGGTTCTCACAGGTAATTCACAACAGCCTTACAAACTGACATCTCAATGGTCTATTTGAGTTTGCACATCGTCATTCAATTTTTATAAACAGTCTTAAAATATCTTAATTCACCCAAGGTATGATGGATGAACTTAAATGCAAGGAAATCATCCTGAATTCAATCATAAAAGCAGCTTCTATTCAAAGCACTGGAGATGCTGCTAAGATTTAGATATATCTGTAAGCTCTTAGTAACGGCAGTAAACAACATTCCTAATTTTACATGGTTTAAGGGATACCTATTTGACTAAAATTTAAATTTGTCAGGTCAATTGTAAGGAAAGTAGGAATAAAAAAGCCTTGCCTGCTTTCCTTGACTGCCATCATAACAACTGTAGCATTCAGCGCACCCTTGGAGTGAGACACACGTCAGGACAGGATGTACCATTGCTAATGCTCTCAATTGGCCATAATAAATCTAATTGAAAATAAATTAAGATTGGGTTGTATATATGTATATATATACACATGTATGTATTTGTCTTTTCTCTCTCTCACAGATGAGGGTGAAAATAAACTTGAAGTTATTTATGCATCTGACACTGTTCTGGTAATAAGTGTTGTCAACAAGGATAAGAATAGAAGATGTGGGGAGATACAGTTGGCTGGAATATTTGGTATGTGTGATACCCTCATATCCACATTGACATGGTCATGAAGCATTTCCATTGTCAGTACTTTTATTCAGAAAACCTGTATGTGGTGACAGTATCCATTATTCAGTATATAAGACCTGCCTCTTTTTGTTCAGTGAGTTAAGGACCCTGGAACATAACCTACCAAAAAAGAGGAGATGGTAGGGATGGGAAGTATCAGGTCATCAAATATTTCTACATAATTCCCACCTGTTGACATTAAAAAAAAATTGAGTTTTACTAGAAGTAGTTTGTTTTTAATTGGAGGAAAATTATAATATCATGTTGGTTCCTAGATTTTTTAAAAAACGTATCAATTAATTTCAATCCATTACTTTAATGGGGCTACTCTCAATTTCTTCAGCATACCATGTTCTCGATGAACTCTAAGCCTTTTTTAAAAATTTTATTAATTAATTAGTTTATTTATTTCACTTTACAACATTGTATTGGTTTTGCCATACATTGACTTGAATCCATCATGGGTCTTTTATACTAAATCTTTGTTCTGCTCAGTTTTCAAATGCACTGTTCTGTGAGCATCAACATCATCCCCAAATAACCACACAGAAGCACTGAGAGATGTGTACCATCGGGACATCAGGGGTCTATTTCAGAAAAGGTAGTGGGTGGACTAGTGGGTTAATTAACGAATACATTGCCTCCCATTTTCATGTGTGACGTGACGAATATGTCTCTGTCAGGGCAGAACCGTGTTTGCTATTTATCTGGATCCAGAACAAGACCTGAGTGGCAGGTACAGGTTCCAGGATGTTGATAAAGGAACAAGTAGGTTCCATACTGTGATGGGTTGAGCCCCAAATTCATGGAGTTCCTGCGAGTCTTTGGGGTCCTCTTGCTGATGCTAGTGGTGTACTAGTTAGAAAGTTGCACTGTGATTAATTCTTAAGACAGACATCTGTGTCATGGGAAATGATAACTCCTTGAGACTTAATTTATAACAAGGGAAGAGCTGATTTGCACATTCTACTTCTTGTTCTGCTTTCAGAAATTTCTCTGAGTTGTAAGGGGCAAAATTCTGCTTTGTGTATGGTGTTTTTCAGTTAAAGTAAATGATATTGAAGAGAAAGCCTTGGAGATATTCAAGGAGCTGTTGAAACTGAAAGGGATTGAAGAAAAACATATTGTGAATTTCTTCAAAAGTGGTAATTGAATTACAGTTTTTCCTAAATATATCATTTACCTGATACATAAATATACTATCAGGAAGGAAATCAATTTATTTGAAGTTTCTTTCTCCATAAATAATCTTTTATATATTTAATTACTTTAAAAAAAAACTGAAAAAAACGGGGAAAGGGAAGAAACAAGGGAACAATTTTTCCTGGTAGTGGTTTGAACCTCCCCCAGATGACTGTCCTCCCTGCACAAAACTATGGAGTTCAATAAAAGCTCAGTGTAAGTGAAAATATTTGTTACTAACGTCTTTCCATTAAATCAATCAGTAAGGACTCATGGTGATTTCATACGTGCCAAACTTGGCAGGTAATGATTTTTTGTCCCAATAATTTATATTCTATAGCCAGATAATTTTTCTGTTACATTAGGTACTTTCTCTTCTCTTGAGCCATGTTAAATTGCAGATGGGTTGGTTGATTAATGCTGAGCAGTTTTGGTGAAAAAGCCTTATCCTGCAGGAATCTTGCAAATCAGCGTCATCAGGGAGAAGCAGTGACTACCACAAGCTGGTAGAAACTAGTGTTCCCATCAGTCCTGACTTTGTGGTTATCAACACAAGTCCCTACACCTGGAGAACTGGGATTAAAAAGAGCTCATGTTTTCTGCAAGACCAGTGTTTAACCTCACATGATTCCAATAGAACTAGTAAACACATTCCAACCACGCTGCCTGAAACATGCATTTGGTTTACATTCCCCCTCAGAAGATTTTCTTCAAGTGAGATCTTTAACTTTCTACACTAAGACAGCCTCAGAAAATGAAACTGTTCTAGGCTAAAATGTGGCTTTTGACTTTCTGTTGAGGAAAAAAAGTGGAAAAACAAGCAAAGAAAAACACTAGCTTCCTGGTGAATATGGTAAGAAAGATGTGGTGCATATAGTCAATGGAATATTACTCAGCCACAAAAAATGAAATCATGCCATTTGTGGCAACATGAATGGACTATATACTAAGTAAAGTAGGTCAGATGGAGAAAGACAAAGACCACATGATATCACTTATATGTGGAATCTAAAATATGACCCTATGGAACTTCTTTACAAAACAGAAACACTCTCACAGATAGAGAAAACAGACTTGTGCTTGCCAAGTGGAGGAGGATTGGGGACAAGAAGGACTGGGAGTTTGGGGTTAGCAGATGCAAACTATTATTTACAGGATGGCCAGACAAGATCCAACCGTATAGCATAGGAAACTATACTCCATACTCTGTACAAACCTAAGTGGGAAAGGAATCTGAAAAAGAATAGATATTAATATATGCATGCATAAACTAATTGTGCTGCTGAGCACCTGAAACTAATACACCATTGTTAGTCAAGTATACTCCCAAATAAAATTAAAATTAACTCTTGAAGACCCCAAACACAAAGCTTGTGGAATTAGAGGCAAGTACTCCAATCACAGAGCCTGTAAATGACCTTTAGATGAACCATCCCAGTGAACATGCAATCGGAAATCTCCTAGAATGAATTCCAAATGGGAAAGGTCACCCTATATGAACATCTTTGGGAAAATTCCACCTGGACCAGCATATCACAGAGATGTGGAGTATTGAGGTCCACCAGGAATCTGCCCATTGGATCGGCTACCAGCTCCTGTAGCTTGGACAGCCTACTGCCTGAGGCTCACCCTTGTCAGCCACCACACTGTCGACCCTACTAAACTTTGGTCCTGTTTTATTCACCTACAGAAACAGTCACTGAGACCAGACACATCTTCTTATGCATGGATTCAAGATCCACCAAATGAAGATGACTTTCCTAATTAACATGGTCCTTCTCTCCTCACACTCCCTTTCCCATCTCATCTCTCCTGGTCACTAATCATGTCTGGTGGTATTTGATTTCTGAGGGTTTAAATAAATTGGCTTAATACACAACCGACTTACATGTGTCTGTACAAAAGTCCCCTATTTTAAAAGACACAAATATGCATGCTAAATTTAACTCTCCAGAAAAATAAGCCTTTAATAAGATAAGTGTTCATCAGAGACAATTCTGATGAGGAGTAAATAGAGATGTCCAAGAGGTGTTTAGCGGAGAAGGAGAAAAATGACTAAATCACCAGGGGACAGGGTTATGGATCCTCTTATTGTAGGGAAGGGGGCAGTCTGGTCATGAAAGACATCCCTAGAAAGCATCTTATTCATTACGGGGCAAGGAACTTGCGTTCCACTCACTGAAATGCATAAAGAGAAAGTGCAGTATGCCATGGGCCATAACTGAGGGGAAAAAATGCATATTCTGAGAGCACCAAAACTTCTGCAATTGAGCTGAAGGACTGATATTTCTTAATGGCTTTATCTCTAGTGATCAGTGGTGGCCAGCTTATAAGCCTTGGTCAATCCATCACACCATGAAGCCAGTGCAGCGGGGTGGGGACAAGATGACTGACAGTTCAGTCAGGAAGTTGTCATTGTTCACAGCATCTAAGGATGGTCTTCCACTCTCCCATGCGTCAAAGAACAGTAGACGCTAGTATTTTGAAGGAGAGGCGATTCCCACTGTCCTGGGCAGGGCACCTGATCAACCCCTTTACAATCCGAAAGATCTAGCACCCTCAAAACATAGAACTTACAGGGCTTCCCTGATGGTCAAGTGATGAAGAAACCGCAGGGTTACCTTGCCAATGCAGGATACATGGGGCTTGACCCCTGGTCTGGGAAGATCCCACACGCCTCAGGGAAGCTAACCTGTGCACCACAACTCCTGAGTCCACACGCCTAGAGCCCACGCGCCAAAGAGAAGCCGCTGCGATGAGAAGCCTGAGCACTGCCACCAGAGTCGCCCCACTCACTGCTGCGCGAGGAAGCCCGTGCCGCAAAGAAGACCCAGCACGGCCCAAAACAAGTCAGTAAGTCTTTGGGGAAAAAAGGGAGAAAAAGTATAAAATCTATTTGAAAGGTTGGGCCAAAATTTAGAAATCTAGTCCAAGTTCTGGGAAAACAGTACTAGGCCAGCTGCTGCCAAGTCGCTTCAGTCGTGTCCGACCCCGTGCGACCCCATAGACGGCAGCCCACCAGGCTCCCCCGCCCCTGGGATTCTCCAGGCAAGAACACTGGAGTGGGTTGCCATTGCCTTCTCCAATGTGTGAAAGAGAAAAGTGAAAGTGAAGTCGCTCAGTCGGGTCCGACTCTTGGCGACCCCATGGACTGCAGCCCACCTAAGTGATACTTAACAGAATAAGTGTTTTAGCTCCTACATAGACATGTCCTCCAAATGGGCTACAGCTGGCAAATTTGAAAGGCACAAGGAGCGAATATTTATGGTTTAGCTGGTAGTAGCAGAGGTCAAGGGCGGTGTTTAAATCCCCCCACTTGTATAGCACAGTGCCTACAGCTGGGGTCCTTACTCCGGTCTTCACAGCTGGTGTGGAAATGCTGGATTCAACGGGTGGATACACATATGCAGCTGAATACAGAGTAAGGGGATGACTCTCTTAAGAGATGTTGGAAGACAAGACCTGGCTTGGCAAGTCAAAAATTGTGAGATTTCATATAGACACAGACATGTACACACAAACATATGTATGCATGTATTAATACATACATGTGTGTACCTGCATTTTTGATATCAATATTAATAAGGGAAAAACCAAATTATCACCACAAATCCAACAGTTAAAGAGCCCAAGGAAACCATGAACAGATTTATGTTACTAGGATTAACACTCCTGATGAAATGAACACATTACTTGAAAAATGTGTGACTAAAATTGATACATGATGAAACAAAAATTTTCTACTGTCCTTTATCTATTAAAGAAACTGAATACAATTTTCCACAAAGTTGAAGGTCAAGAAGATTTAACTGAAATTTTTCCATGAAGTAAGAAGAAATATCACTAAACTTAGAAAAAGTCATCCATAGATACGTATGAGTTCATATGAAATTATTCTCCATCATAATTTGCTCCTTAATCCCATAGACAGAATTAGGTACTTCCAGTAGATTTGTTTAGACTCTGTATATGTCCACATGCTTTTTCATGAACACACAAATATACTAAGATATTGGAGAGTTCAACAGTCTTGAAACGTATTCGTGTTTATTTAAAATGCTAATATTTTTACAGATTGTATGGATTCATAGAGATCTAATTCATGAATCCAATTTCTTACCCTTTTCACTATGAATGTGTCATAGCTACTAGACCATTAAATTTATTTCTAAATGTTTCAACACCACAATCAACAAACTCGTTAATGTCTTCTATGCGTAGCAATTGCTTCGTACCTTTGCACGAAATGCTTCTTCAAAGTGAATGCACTTCTGGGGACTTCCCTGGTGGTGCAGTGGATAGGATTTGCCTTCCAATGCAGGCAATACAGTTTCTACCCCTGATCAGGGAGCCAAGATCCCACATGCATCGGGGCCAAAATCCCAGAACATAAGACAACAGAAGCCATTTTGTGACAGACTGAATAAAAACTTTAAAAATGGTCCAGGTCAAAAAAAAATTTCTGAACAAAAAGTGAAGGTACCTCAGAATTTTGATAGATGCAACCAGCCAAGGGGACCTTTCAAACCACATTTGTATTTTCTGTTCTCACATCCTATTGAGTTCTCACAGATTCACTCTTAACTCACTCTTCCAACGATCCTCAGAGGGTCAATTAAAACCCTTCCCTGTGGAAATGTTCTCTCTGAAAGTAGACCTCAAACACACTCTAAATTCTCAATTTTTTTTTTTAAGCAAAGCGTTCATATTTTATTTACCTATATTTAGGTGGCGTTTATTTTTAAATTTCTTTTAATTGAAGGATAATTGCTTTACAAAGTTGTGGTGGTCTCTGCCATACATCAATGCCAATGATTCATAATTAGACATAGCCCCTCCCTCTTGAGTCTCCCCCCGACTCGCCACCCCACCCCCCTGGGTCATCACCAGCACTGAACTGAGCCCCTGCGCTATAGCGGCTTCCCACCAGCCGTCTGTTTTCCACGTGGTCGTGTGTATATGTCAGTACTATTCTCTCAACCTCTTCTCCCCCACCTGTGTTCTCAAGTCCATTCTCTGTATCTGTGTCTCGATTCCTGCCCTGAAAATGGGTTCATCGGTACCATTTCCCACCTTTCTTTATTCTTCATCCTACAACTTATCAACAGATGATTCAATTTGGCAGTTATTTGAGGGCTGGTGTGTATTCTATTTTCACTGGAAGACAGTTCACCGCATAACTCAAGTCTGTCTGCTTCCTGCTTATTTGTGAGGCTTAGGCTCTTGTTGGTGCTACACTTTCATTTGTTGAATTCAGGCCAAAGGGTGGACAAGAGAATCTTACAGAGCATACATAGTTTGTTACGCACATGTAGATAAACATTCGAAGCACATTGTACAGAACTTTTTTCTATGTAGTATGCTACTGTCAGATAAAAGAGAAATCAATACATTCTGCAAAGAAAGGAAAGTTTTCCTCCCTTGGGGCACACACCTTGAGAAGGGCAGATTACTGTTGTTGATGCCTTTGGTTTTGAACCTGGCATACGCTAACACCATGACTACTAGAGTAGGGTAGATGGGTGCACAACTCAATTCCTATTTAATTGGTAATAAAACATTTGATCAAAGACTACATCTAGAGGGTAACCGACTGAAATACCCACAAAGGAATTAATTGTCCATCATTTAAAAACAAAAAAGCCTGCCATATGAAAACAGACACTGAAACAGATCGTCCTCTCGGTTAGGAGGAGGACAGGGCCCGCTGTGGGGCAGGAGGAGGCGATGAACACTTTGTGCTCACTCACTTCTCAGGTCAGAGAAACAGAAGGCTTTTAAAGCGTCCCTTAGGAAATCATCTTAAACCACACACTCAATTTTAGTTTTAGAAAATAAATTTTGAGCCATCTCTTCAATGTTAAGGAAATAATACAGGAGAGGGGGATGTGTGCCCTGGACAGTTTATTCCAGTTTGGATCTCAGGGCTTAAAGGAAAATAAATGTTCCTGACCTTGAAATATGGGATCCGTATTGTGATTCTCACTCACTCTAAAGGTCAAATGTCCAGATTCACTTAAGTTTCCCCAATCCTCATTATTAAGAGGACAAAATGCCATAAAAGCTTATCCTTGCCAAGCAGGATATTGAAGATGACTTCTGTGTTACCTTGGTCTTAGGAGGAACAATCAGTGGTTCACGATGCGTCATGCTAACACACCGATCCTGTAAAAAGTGGCACTGATTCCCATCCTGCCCAGCCACCGGGACCCCGTCAGCCTCACCAGGAGAACCACGGGGCCACAGGATGAAGGTTCTGGTGCTGAGTCTTCTCCTAGGTCTGGTTTGTGCTGCCCAAGAACGGGAAGCTCAGAAAGGCCACTCAAAGGTGCCAGGGGTAGTCTGAGCTGGGAGGAGGTCTCGGGAGTGTGTGTGTGTGTGTGTTTTGGGATTTTATTTTGTGTATCCTTAAGCCTAGCCATCTCCTTCCAACTCATAATCAGCGCATTAACTGGCCCTGTACCTGTTCTGTTTGGTCTTTGTATTATCTCTACTCTCTGTTATTGACTCATGTGTTTTTACTGCTCTTGTAACAGAGAAAGTTCTTGTTGTTGTTTGGTCATATCCATCTCTTTGCAACCTCATGGACTGTAGCTTTCCTGCACCTCCGTCCATGGGTTTTTCCAGGCAAGAATACTGGAGGGGGTTGCCATTTCCTTCTCCAGGGGATCTTCCTGACCTAGGGATTGAACCTCCATCTCTGAAGTCTCCTGCAGTGACAGGCAGATTCCTTACCGCTGAGCCACCTGAGAAGCCCAGCAGAGAAAGAGGATCAGCTAAACAACTGTCGAGTTGGAGTTCTTGCATTTGACATCAGAGCTCGAGCTATATCAGAAATGTCTCAATTCCTTCTTTTGT